TATTGTTAGGAATTGTTAGAACTTACAACCCCACTGGCATGGATTTTTGGGGACCTAGGGACTCCTCTTTTCTCAGGTTTCTAAAGACTCCAGTAGAGAAAATTGGCAACTATTAAATAACTGACACTATTTCCTCTTAGACCTATTCCTAGGTGGGGGTCTGACCACTTCTTCTCAGTCTCCTTTGCTGGTGTATCCTCTATGTCCTGCCCTCTATGTGTGGATAAACCCAAGGCTCTATCCTGGGCCCCCTTCTCTCACCATGCCCACCCTCTCACATGGTGACTCCATCCACTCCTGCGATTTTAATGAGCATCTCTCTGCAGCTGCCTCCAAGTCTATAGATCCAGCCCTAGCATCGTCTCTCCTGAGCTCCAAGCCTATATCAACAATTATAGGTCCAGTCAGATGTCTCTCAGGCATCTCAAACTCAACACATCAACACAACTTATCATCGTCTACCAAGACTGCTTCCTAACTTCTCTGTTTCTATGGAGGCACCATTATCCTCACAGTCACTCAGGTTTGCAAGTGTAGGAAAAATGATTTCTTACACTGTTCAGGAAAAATTATGACGCTGTTTAAATCCAACGTTATGTGATTAAAGGTTGTTCACACCCAGGATGGCTCCTGACCCAGTAACTCCAGGAATGCCAAAGATGGCTACAAGGTATTTCCCATTCCCCCAGACCCTGAATCCACCCAAAGCATTCTTGTTTTGGACTGGACTACCACACCCAGGAGCTCCTCAGGGCTCGAGCCCAAGCTTCTGTTCTGGGCTTCAGTTACTCATTTCTATCTCAATCTACCTTGCTTTCCGGCTGCCCTCTGGACAAAATTGCTTAACTGCTCATGTGGGGTTGCTGTGTGGGAAACTTTGACAACATCCTCTATGATGTAAATCTTCCAGAATCTGGGGGGAGAGCCCTTCCCTTTCCAGTTGCTCTCTTCTACCAAACAATGTCATAAATTTCTTTCTCAAACTGTCTCAGATTTGGGGGTCTGTGATTGCAAGCGGTACAAGCTTGGGATCACCCTCCGATCTTCTCTCGACTTCCACCCTCACATCGAATCAGTTAAAAATTATCTTGTGGAGTCCTCTGGCCCAAGAGATCTCACACTGACTCACCCCCACCTTGCTCAGATCTTCGCTCCTCACCTCTTCATTCTCTTCCCCACCTCTTATCTCTCCTCTCCAATTCATCTTCCACACTAATGCCAAAGTGACATTGCCATAGCGCAGGTCTGACTGTGTCTCCTCAGCTCAAGAAGATCCACTGACTCCCTATTGCCAGCTCACAGGTTTGGCATTTAAAGCTGACTTCAGGCTACTTTTCCTGGTTGATTGCGTGACACTCTCCCCATAGCTGAACAAGCCTGCCTGCTGTCCCCATTTATGATGCCCATAGCCCATCTCCAGACGTCGGCACAGGCTTCTCACCGGACCTGGAGAGCGCTGTTTTCTCACCTCTGCCTTATAGAATTCTTACTTCTCTTCAGTACAATCACCTCCAGAAAGTTCATCCCTCCCTGGGCCTCCCCAGTTGGAATGCTCATGTCCCAGCAATAACTTTGTCTCTGTTGCATTTAATTTTCTAAGTATGTGTTGTTATTCCACCTATTCCCCCTCCCCCGCCAAGAATATAAGCTGTTTGACGTCAGGGACCATTTGAGGTTTTTTGTCTTTTTATCTCCAGTCCCTTAGATACTGGTACATAACATATGTAAACTGAAATATTATTACTAGAGTTAACGGTTACTACGCGGTCCTTGGATATGGGTAGCCTCATGCTCTTGTGAAGGATAACAAGTCTATGAACAGGAGCTCAGGACTTAACACACTCATTTCATAAATGAGAAGCCTCAGGCTCAGAGAGGAAAAACCACACGCTTCCATTACCTGGTTAGTAAGGGTCCAAGCCAGGATTCACATACAGGTCTTCTGAGTCCACATACGCTGCCCTTCCCTCTCTACTGTGCCCCATGGACAGTTTCTGTATTGGTCAGCAGACCTAAAATGGCTGATGGATTTAAAGGCCTGTCCATTTCTGTACTTTGGCCAACAGTTAAAGCTGATCTGGTTCTTCACACTGACTGGACCTTGTTCTGAGCTCTTCTGAGCAGTAAAAGGGCCCGAAACATGAGAAATCCTCTACAACCTCAGTGGGAGTTGATTAGCATCTCTGCAGAAAATTGGCGTCTCTATCACAGAAAGGAGACCACTGGTCTTAGCCAGTTCTAAAATCCTGTTAATTTTGAAAATCAGCAGGCCATAATGGTAGAACCCACTGGGAGTCAGGCAAGCCTGGGTCTGAATTCTGGTTTCAACATTCACCAAAGTTCTAGATCTTGAATGTCAATGAATTTAGGAGAGTTCCCTCCTAGACCAGCCTATGCTCTGTGACAATAGACAATGGTACAATGGAAAAAATGCCAGATGTGTCATCCTGAGAAGGCCTGGATTCGAATCCCAGTTCTGACACTAAGGGCACTGGGGCCCGTAGGAAGCACTGACAGCTGCTGATAAAGGCACCCCATCTCCTCCCACACAGACTCACAGCATTTGTCCAGTTAATATTTAGTGAGTAAGGGAATGAATGAATAAATGGTGCTGATTGGAAAGCAAACAAATAATCTTGGCCAAATATTGACCCTAAGACCGAGCCAAAAAAGGAGTGTTGCCTCCCAGTCTTTTGAGGTGTGTATGTGTGTATATTGGGGGGGGGGGGGCGAGGTGGTACTTCCATTCCAGCCCAGTGGATGATCAGGTGCCCCCCTGTCTTTTCAAGATGGGAACTGGCCTGACTGGCCTGGTGGCAGCGAGGTCCTTTCCCCCTGGCCAGGAAAACTGATGGCAAGAGATTGTCAGATAGCATTGAGCTTTGAAGAGATACAAAGATCACATTGCCATCCAGTCCCATCAGGCAGCTGGTCTCAGATCTTTCACTTGCTAAGGGACTGAGATAGTGGAGACAACGCAGAAATCCTTGATACTCCATTTTCTGTGTGTTTGGGGGCCTCATTTTTTACGATCTCTGAATATTGTGTGCAAAGGATGTAAAAATATATCTCGTCTTACAAAGAACAGTTATACAAGATCCTCAAATGATGGAAGGGGGCCCTTGGTTTCCCAACTTGATTTGGACAAAGGTCAAGAATCTCTGAGGGTCTTCAGGGATTTACAGTGAAATTATCTGGGGTGGAAATGCCTCCATTCCCCATCCTTGGGTCACGCCCATCATCCCATTAAATAAGAGGCAATGATTTTGGTTAAAGTTGTCTTCTGGCTTATTTTACCCAGCCAGCTACCCAACTGAATAATCCCTTCTACGACACCTCCAACAGCTGAACATTCAGCCCCTACTTGAATGTTTCCAATGACAGGGCACTCACCACTTGTGGGCTCTAGACAATTCTAATTATTAAGTATGTCTGACACTATCACCTTGGTCATGTTTACCTCAATGGCTTATTTTGTAGATGTCACCCCAGTTAACCTCTCCAGGCTGTCAGCTTAGGGCACCAACTGGACTAGATCTCCAAGTGCCTTTCCGGCCTTTAGATTCTATGACTTTAAGATTGGGTGATTAATTATTCCAGGGAATTTCAACCATGGGCCAAAGTAATTCGTTGGAGGCTGAAAAGTCATTTGTGCTGATTGATTACCCCACAAGCAACCCATGAAGCCATGAAACCCACTGAGACACCTAAAGGCTGAGGCTGCTGGCTATTCTATAATATTAATGACAATGATAATAATAAAGAATGCACATTAATATGTTTAAGGCTTTCAAAGAGCATTCTGGGTACTTCCCCTTTGTCAGGGCAATGGTAAGAATACCATTTCCCATTTTATAGATGAAAAACTGAGGCTTACATAGGGGGAATGACTTGCTGAACATCACTAAAGGAGTTTGTCAGAGTCCAGATTCAAACCCACATCTCCGACTCCAAGTATAACATTCCTTCTCCTTCCCTAACAAGGCAGTTTCCCCGCCCCCTTTTTTTACTCCAGATAATTATGATTGGATGATCTGTCTCAACACTATCTTCTCAATCACTGAATGCTCCAGGAGTGCCTTAGGCATCCTGCCCCCCTCTGCTAACAGCCAATGCAATCTCCATGACAACCAGAGTTAGTCTGTGCAGACAGGTGTAGAGGACAGAAGAGATCTCCGAGGTTATCTGGCCCAACATACCCCCTCATTCCATGCATAAGGAATGCGATTTGCCCAAGGTAATGGAGCACACCCAAAGCAGTTAGTAATTATACCCAGAGGCTCAGAGTCCAAATCTAGAGTTCTTAGATTTAAATAAGGGAATACCCAACCCTGGTGCTCCATATCTAGGCAAATGGTTTCTCCAGGGAGCCCTCAGAGCTCAGGGAACCACTCATGCTCAAGGTCTGTTTTCACCCAAACTCAGAAAAAGAAAAGACAAAAAGCAGAAACCATTAGTCCTGGCTTTCATGACTTCAGTGAATAAAGTAGAGGAAGACATTTTAAAAAAAGAAATCATTGGGGAATGTTATTTAATTATGACCATCTGACAGGAGCAACGAAAAAAATTTTAAACCATTCAGTGAGAACCTTTGAGGTGACAATTGGCATTCTTTGCTAATTCTCCCATTCTTCTTCACTTAAGCCATATTTGCATCTCCTCACAGAAGCCTTGGCATAATGTCAGTTAGGCTGAAGGGAACCTGATCAGGGCCACATTAATGGAATAATTCCACCCTGAGCGGATTTTTTTCCTTTTCTCTTTCAGGGTCTGTGATTTGGTGGGGGTGGGGGGAGCTCTCCCAGTCCTCCCCCCCCCCCCCCCCCTGCCATGCAGATCACACAATCCCTTTACCACTTAGGAATCTTTCTTTGTTGCTGAACCCAAACATCAGCACTCTGTGACTGACCTAATGATGGCCCTTCAAACTCAGCAGATCTGGCCCTCAGGGGACAGATGTGCAGTATTTATTTTTTAGTCCTTCTTAGTGACAAACTTACCAGTCCAAGATCAATAATGAAGCAGTCTCCCTTGTTGAAGCTGGCCCAGCTGAAGGGGACCTCTGTGGCACGGACCACCCGGCGACCCTTAATATGCAGCAGTCTCTGAGCAGTCAGATCATTTGTGATGATGTGATTGAATCCAGATGCCACACCTCCAGCCTAAGCAGAAAAGGAGAGGTGGCCATAAAACTGGTACAATGAGACTTCTCTTTACCAACATGGTGGTGCAAAGAACCCAAAGAGTTCATGGAAGAAACACATGCCATTAAGACTAAGGTGTGAGGGAAAATACACTCAGCACCCATGGCCGTTGACCTGGAGACCTCACTGTTGGTTATATACCACAAGGAGGACCATGCCTGAAAGGAAGGTCTCCAGAATGACAAACCGTGCATTGTAATCCCCAGTATAGTAGCAAAGAACTGGAAACAAAAAGGAGGGCTTTAACAAATGAGGGACTGCTGAAAAAATCAGGGTACATGAATACAAACGGACATTCATGAACTGTAAGTAGTGACAACAATGAGAAATTCCAAGAATCCTGGGAAGACTTGGATGCCCTGATGCCTAGTGAAGAAAGCAGAACCAGGAGAACGATAGGCACAATGACTTCAATAGTGTAAATAAAACAGCCCAGAAAGGCTGCTGAACATCTGTTAACTGACCCAAGAGAAGAGGTGATGACATCTTCATTCTTTTGGCAGGAGTTAAGGACCAGGGACAGGGAATCTCTACCTTCACAGTCACCCCTTCCACTCCTCAACCCATGGCATTCTGGCTCCTGGTGTTACAAATGATCTCTTAATTGCCAACTCTCTCAACACCATTTCTCAATCCTCACTCAACTCTGTTGCTTTTGACACCATATGGCAATTAGGGGGCACAGTGGACAGAGCGCTGGTCTAAGAGCCAGAAAGCCCTGATGCGTGAGCCTGGGCAGGTCACTAAACCTCATTCAGTCTCAGTTTACTCACCTATAAAAGAGGAGATAACAATAGCATCTGCCTCACAGGTAGGTAACTGGGGGGATCAAATGAAGTAATTTATGCAAAGCACTTTGCAAACCACTATATAAATTCTAACTTTTATCACCATTGACTAGCTTCTTCCTCAGGCCACTCTCCCCTTTGAACCTGAGTTCAAATCCAACCTCAGACACTTACTAGCTATGTGACTCTGGCCAAGTCACTTAACCTGTCTGCCTCACTTTCCTCATCTGTAAAATGTGGATAAGAATAGCCCCTGAACTTCCCCAGATAAGTGTGAGGATCAAAAGATACAGTACTTGTAAAGTACTCAGCACAGTGCCTGGCACCCAGAACATGCTTGATAAATGTTTCCTTCCGTCCTTCCTTCTTTTTCCGGTTTTTCGAGGCCCTGCTCTCATGGTTCTCCTTCTCCTGACTGCTCCTCCTGAGACTATTTTAATTGCCTCAGTGATTAATTTTACTCAATAGTTTTATCTATATTACATGGCAAGGTCCAGTAGGGGTAGGGCAGTCTATTGGGAAATGACTGCTATATAACAGTAATAATAACTAGCATTTCTGCAGCCCTTCCAGTTTTGCAAAGCACTGTACATGTCATTTCGTGTGTAAAAACAAAACAGTTACAGATTTTTTAAAAGATTGGAAAAAACCACGAGGTCTCAGGACACCCAATGAAAGAGCTGCAACAGAATTAGGGAGTGCGAGGAATCCAGCTCTGACTGACATGGAACTACTTGGCAAACCAACCCCTTGCTTGGCTCTGAAGTTTAAGCCTGGCCTCCTCATTTCTTCTCTTTAGAAGGGTTCGGTGTCTACAGAAAGACCACAAGGGGGCAAGAGGCTGGCAGCTCTTCCTCTGGCAAGTGAAGCTCACCTGGCAACCTGAGCCAGGCCATGGGCATCCAAAGCTGGGAACTATCTTAGATCTCAGCCACCCATGCAGGGGGGGCCCCAGGTCCCCGGCAGTGAATGGGTAAACGCATCACCCTGAAGGCAGCGATGAAAGGGCAGCAGAGAAATGCCTTCTGTCCCCAGTCTTCTTTTCAAGCATCTTTTCTCTCATGAGGAAAAAGGAGGAGGATATTTGATTTATTCCCTTGCCCCATCAGGGATGACCAAACAGAAGGGTGCATGCTGCCTGCATGTTTGAATCCTCACATTTGGTAACCCAACATGGCCCAGCTGATTTTGCTCCACTAGAAGACACAGCTTATTACCACTCACCACCTTGGCTAACCTCTCCCTACAGCTACCAGCTAGGCTACTAAGACTAGGCTGGTTCTCAGTCACAGAAGAAGTTCTGTTCAGACAGTTGAGAGAATCTGCCAAGTATGCAGTATCAATCTGGCAATTCTGGGGCCCTTGCGCGTGCTAAGTCTTTGTGTTTTAAATTAAGAGCTCACCTGTGGGATAGGGAAAAAGAGAGCAAATGGTTTTCTGGTCTTGGATCTTTTCAATGCTCCCTTATCTCCACACGTGCATTTCCTATCAAGTACAGCTGTGGTTTCAGATACTGCTTAGGATCTGGTAATTCCTGATTAATTAACAGGGCATGATTTGAGCTCTTGCCGGAAGCTTTGATCTATAGAGTTTCACCTTCTGGGGCAGTTTCATGCTGGTGACTAAGGCATAGACCTCAGCATGGAGGTGAGCTCGACACTCTTCGTGCCTGCCTCTCAAGCAGACACTGAGCAGGCCAGGACAGTCTGCTCTTACCAACAGCTTGCAGGATCCCGTGCAACCCAGACTTAGTGGGTTCATTTGGTCCATGGGACGGGAGCATGATTTCACCTATTGACACAGTGAGGCACAAAGGGAAGAGAATGGGCTCTGACCTTCTGTGGTTCCTTCCATCTCTCCATCAAGAAGCCAAGACCCCAACACACTGTTGAAGCCTTTCTTTATTTAGGAATGATGGGAAGGAAGGCAAAATGTAAGGCCACTGACGCTTCGTAATGGCAAGTAAGTCAGGAAATGATGATCTTGACAGCCGTCACATACACAGTAGTCAAAGGACTACACATGGATGGCATGAGGCCTGGGTCCCAGGGCGATCAGAAGGCCTTCTGGGAGGCCTGGCTCCTGCTGCAGCTGCCTAAGATTGAGAAAACCTTTAGCTAACTGGCTGTCAGAATCAAATTTTCCAACTCTTCTAATCTTTTGGGAATAAACGTAGACACTACACAGAAGAGACAAGACTAAACCTCTCACATCCCAGAAATTTCCTTGAACAACCCCATGAAAGGTGAAAGGTGACTCACACCTTTTCAAGGAGCTGACAAGTGCCTGCACATGACTGCTGAGCACTACCCTCCCTCCTGGACTCTAACCTCTCTTCCAAGGTCAGACTGGAAATCAGTCTTTGGGGCTGGAGAAAGAGCTGGGAGGCTTGTGTTTTGGGGAGATGGCTCACCTTGTATCTCAGCCCTCCTTTGAAATAGCCAACAAAGTCGGTTGTCTCATAACCTTGCAGTTCTCGGCTCTGCACGGGCTTTCCGCCGAGGTAGTCATCCATCTGCATGGTGAAGATGGCAGCGGCTCCACTCTCATCTTGAGTGCACTCCTTCCCTAAAATGAGAGGCAATGATACAGTATTAATCCAATGAGATCCAGAACCGAGGCCATCAATGTACGTACTCAGGATGTCTGCTGGCCAAGGAAGCCGGTTTATGGAAATATACCCAACAGCCAGGCTTGGGTCCTTTTACAGAGGGCTTCTAATCAGACTCAAGAATATGTTAACACTAAAAAAGAGCTTTGAGAGCCTTTGGACAGCTTGTGAGATGGGAAAATACCGTAGTCTGCCCCAACAATGCTGGTGATTAGTGGGCTTGTTTTAAGATGGGGAGGACAGGGACCAGGGCTAAGTTCTCTTTTTTTAACATGTTTAAGTTACTGCTCTCCTACATTTAGGTGAGTGCTTGAAAAGACAAGCCAGGGTTCAAATCCCAGCCCTGGATCCTGAGAAGATCACTAAGTGGCCCCCTCAGCTGCCCCAGGCCTCCATTCCCTCATCTGTAAAGACAGACGCCTAATTAGATGGTCTCTGAAGGCCCTGATAACTCTAGCTCTGTGATCTCATGCTCTTCTCTAGGCCTTCTCTGCATAAAGAGATGACCTCTGAGGGTCATTTACAACTACAGAGGTATGGTCCACTGGTCGGGATGGGGAGTGGGTGAGTGGGGGTAGGGCCTCCTAGAAGCCCTCGTAGCCAAGAGAATGCCAAGAGATCATAATAAATCACCTCATACTTAGGGGATCTGGATGGAGTCGGAACAGTCCTCAGAAATTATCATGTCTACCCTCCCATCTTACAGATAAAGCAACTGAGAGCCAGGGATGAAATACTCGCTCAAGAATACACAGTTATTAAATGTCAGTATGCTCGCAGGATCTCCAAGGCATGTCTTTATTTTCCAAGATAACCTTTGTTCCCCAGACAACTGCATCTCTCTATGTACGTAAAAGCAAAAGACAAACCAGCCCACATTTCTTTAAAAATATTCACTTGTTCAGCCTTTTAATCTCACCAGCCTAACTGGCCTCATTTAGGGTGAGTTAGGACCCTGGATTCATCACCTGTGGAAAGTGGTGTTCCTGCCATGACTCAATCCAACACCGCTATCCTTCACACACCCCCATTTTACAGATGAGAAAACTGAGGCTCTGAGATCACACGGGTGGTCAATGGCAGAGCCAGAATTCGAACCCAGGTTCCCTCTCTCTCATGTTGTTTCACCATGAATTCACCATTAACTTTCCACTCCTCCCATCTCTCCCCACTTCAAATATTTTATTTAAATCTCTTCACTTAAAAAAGAAACCCAAACCCCTTAGTTCCTACAGCACAAAATGAAAACCAAACGTGGCTGAGGATGTAAAGGACAATGCAGACCGTTCTGGGCCTGATGCCCTGTTCTGCACCTCCGGGGAGCTTTCCCTGATCAGCGACAGGTCGGCCTCCGCGGGGCCCGCCACGAGCCCCCATGCTCTGCCACTTCCAGACACTCAGACCCTGGGCTGCTGCTGCTTGGGGGGCCAACTCAATTTGCCCTTGCACCCCATCACCACTGCGGGGTCCTGACCCTCCCAAAGCTTCTCTTTCTGGCCTTTGTGCTGGTTGGGAAGAGGCGCCGAAAACCAACTAACTCAGCGCCTGGAGGAGCCCATATCGAGCCCCCCCCTCCCCTGCCAGCCCAGTGATTGACAGATGGGGCCTGCCAATGATTCTTGAACGACAGGTGCCAACAACTCAGTGGGTTATCTTTGGGTTGCACAGTCAGGTGGGCCCTGGTCTGCTGCCCTATTACAGAGCCCAGCCAGCAAAAAGCACTGGATTTGGGATCAGGGAAACAGGGGATTCAATCTGGCTGCTTATGCTAGCTGAGCCCTCCTGGGAAAATTGCTCAACCTCTCAGATCCTCAGCTTCTTCATCTGTAAATGAGCCTGTTTATAGCATGTTTCCCATAGGATTGGTGTAATCCTCAAAAGAGAAAACCAATCAATCTACCAGCACTTATTAAGTTTTTGCTGGGTACACCGGGCACTGTGTTAAGCACTGGAGACTCAGAGAAAAAGTGAAGGCAGCCCCTGCCTTCAAGAGCTTTACACCAGTGGCAAATAGCCACTGCTGTAAGTGGAAGAGATCTGCAGGTGGTGGGATGTGAGCTGAAGCTCACAGGAAGCTGGGAAGCTCGAAAGCCCAGAGGCAGAGGGCAGCAGGGAGGGCATTCTAGACTTGGGGACAGCCGACGATGGCAGGAGAGCAGCCACTGTAGGGGGAACTTCCAGCTTTGTAAGATGAAGATCAGTTCTGCTTTTTCTTTCAGCAAAGGCAGGCCGGCCGGCATAGTCCAGAACAGTGGGGAACGGGGAAGCCCAAAGGAAGGTCCCCAGGAGTGGGGTGTATTTATCCAGAGATGATTCCTGGAGAGATGTGCCTGGGGAACACCCAGAATGAGAGTGCCCTGCCATCCGACGGGGTGGGCTCCAGATCTAGGCACCGGGGCTCTGTCCAAACCCCAAAAACTTGTCATAAGCTCTTACCCAGCACCACCCCAGGGTTTGGGATGCAGAGACAGCCTCGGGCCAGGGCCTCCCCTCAGGGAGCAGTTGTCCTTCCTGGGAATACCCAGCAGCCCACAGAGGAGGAAGCATGGCTCCTGTCCAAGAACAGGAGTCTTGGCTTCCATCTGGGGCAATGGGCTCTGCAAGATCCCCATAACTCTCTGGCTCCTTTCCCCCTCCCCTCCCCACTCAGATTTCCTCTGGCAATCATAAATATCTGTTGTTGTTCAGCTGTGTCCCACTCTCCGTGACCCCATTTGGGGTTATCTTGGCAAGGATAGTGGAGTGGTTTGCCATTTCCTTTTCCAGTTCATTTTACAGATGAGGAAATTGAAGTAAACAGGGTGAAGTGACTTGTCCAGGGTCACACAGCTATTAAGTGTCTGAGGCCGGATTTGAACTCAGGTCTTCCTGACTCCAGGCCTACTGCTCTGACCACTGCACCATCTATTTATTAAATGCCTATTACGGGCTCCACAGAGGTGGATGAAGGTGCCTTGCCCCTGTTTGAATTCTCAAGGTAACAATGAATAGTGGGTAATAATAACAGTTATAACAACTAATTTATATCAAATTTTAAGGTTTATAAAATGCTTTACAAACTTCCCCTTTGATCCTCACAACCCTGGGAAGGCCCAGACTGTTGTTATCCTCACTTTACTGATGAAGAAACTGAGACTAAGTGACCTTCCCAGAGCAACCCAGGCACTGAGTGTCTGAGGCTAGATTTGAACTCGGGTCCAGCACGCTATCCCCAAGCCTCCTGGGTGCAGGAGCTTTAGAGGAAATACCTCCACCTCAGAATTTGTGATGGAGAATAAAGCTGGGCACAGGCAAAGACGCATGGAGCAAAGCAGAAGAGCCTTATCCCCCATAAACTGATTGGGTTTTTCCCTTTCTTCCCAGGTAAACAGGAAAGTCCTGTCCCTTTCCTCAGGGTCCCACACCTCACACTTTTCTGTTCCATGCTGTGGAGGCCGCACCAGCACTACCCAGAGGCCTAAATTCAAACCCTGAACAAAAACGTGAAGCCAACAGAAGGGGCGATGTGAGGGGGCAGGGACCGAGAGAAAAAGATAAAATCAGCCCAAACAGGAAGCTGGGTTACGACAAAGACTCGAGCAAGGCTAGGATTGTTATGCAGAGAAGGAGAGCGCCCGAGAACCCGGATGACCGAGTCTGAGAATTAGAATCTTAATGGGGCATTCGATGGAACCCAGCTTCCCAGACTGAAGGGCTTCCCCTTCCCCCATAGCAATCCCAGAGTCCCCCCAGGGGCGGGAAGCTCACCCCCTCCAGAGGAAGCCCACTCACTTTTGCATACCACTTTTAATTATGAGGAAGTTGTCGTTTGCCAGGCCAGTAGGCTACGCTGCCTCCAGGTAAGCTCAAACAACGGAGCCGAGGCACGGATTCTTCCAGATGCTCAGGGTTAAGTCCGGGAGCCACCATCGTAGCCAAAGGCACTGGCTTTTTCCCTTTCCCCAGAGCCATCTCCAATTGCCAGTGGCTTCTTGGGCACTAGTGGCCCAATGTATTTACCTCACATTGTGCAGAACAAGCAGGCCCCAAAGCTCATGAGCAATTATGGGTGAACACACCCAGATCAGACCTTGGCATAGCACCTGACACTTTGCAAAGCCCCTTAATTAATTAAGCCTGGAGAATTAGGCACTGCTCAGAATATTATCTCAGCTTTACAGGTGAGGAAACTGTCGCCCAGGGAGGTTAAGGGATTTGCCTATAGTCAAGCCGTAAGTGGGAGAGATGGAATTCAAACCCAGGTCTCCTGGGCTCCAAATCTAGAAAGGACCTCAACACACCACACAGCATCTCTAAAAAGCCTTATTTGAGTAATTAAAATGGAAACTAAGTTCTAAGAATGTGGCTTGCCACTGAAATCATTAGCAGAAAGACTCTCCCCCCCCTCCTCCTTCTCATCACAAAACTAACCTCCTCAGGCCAGACGGAGTTTTTGCCCTTGGTCTGGCCAACAAAGAGTCGGTTTGTGTGCGTTCTGAGCCCGCCTCGGGGGGAGGGCATGGAATTCGGGCACCGGAGGCCAAAGATACTGCCGTTGGCTCCTGGCAGCCCCGATGCAAGAGCTCAGGTGACTTTCTGAGCCCTCGGTTTTCTCAGCTGGAAGATAAACAATCACACTTTCTAAAGAAATCGAGTTGGGGAAAACGCACTGCTTGGCCTGCGCTGGCCAGCTCCTGGAGGCTGGACACAATAACCCAAGGAAGGATGCACAGTCACAAGGAGCAGGCCCGTAAGAACAGCCAGCCCTCCTCCCTGCAGCAGGTCTGCGCACGACGGCTTGGCCAGCTTTGGGGAGGGCTCCTTCGGAGGCCAGGTCCCTCCCTCCTGTCCCAATTACTCCTCTTCCTTTAACCTGCTGGGGCTACTTCCCGGTCGGTTAGAAATAAAAGGTTTTGCTCTTAAGGACAAGGAAATGTTTGTGGGTACCTCCCCAGCAAGGGGCCCCGAACAATAGCTGGTTCTAAAAACCAGGTTAAGGCATGCCTGAGATCATCGCAAGGGGGTGTCTCTGACCACTGCCCCTCTCAGAGAAGCCTCAGAGCTCGGTAAAGTAGGGAGGTTTTTAACAAATCTAGAAACTGGAAGCAACATTAGGAAACTTCTTGTCATATTACAGGCTGCATAGATGGGTGTAAGAGATCATTTAGCCCAGTAGCATCAAACTCCAATAAGAAAGAGGGCCCACTAAAGTGGGATGCATTGACTTAGACAACCATATATCAAACGTTATCTCTGGTCTATTATATTTTTTATTTAGTTTGCTAAACATTTCCCAATGACATCTTAATCAGCTTCAGTAGCACTTCAGATCCAATCCCTTTCATTTTACAGATCAGGAAACTGAGGTCCGAGTAAATTGTGACTTGTCCACGATAAGTATAGCAAGTGTTAGAATGAGGACTTGAACCCAGGTCCTCAGACACTTACTAGCTGCTGTGTGACCCTGGGCAAGTCACTTAACTTCTGCTTGCCTCAATTTCCTCAACTGTAAAACAGGTGTGATAATAGCACCTACATTCCAAGGTTGTTGTGAGGATTAAATGAGATAACGTTTGTAAAGTGCTTAGGACAGTACCTGGCACATAGTAGGTGCTTATTAAAACGCTTGTGAGAGCGCGGAAATCTTCCAGACTCAGGCTCCGCCTCCACACAGATGGGACCACCCGATCATCCTCAAGAGTGGGTGGTTGTGGAGCAGTGAAGTCCAGCGGGGGGAGCACTGGCTGTGAGTTCAAGTCTCAGCTTTGCTTATTAACTACCTGGGTGCCCTTGGACAAGTCTCTCCCCCAGTTCACGCCCCCCATTTAGTTCCTCATAAGTAAAATGAAGGGGCTGGATGCCTGCCACCTAGCTCTATCTTCCCATGATGAGGAAAATGAAGGGCCCGAGAGCCACCCTGGTCTCCAACTTCTTTAGGACTTCATAGTGACTGTCGTCTAGCCCTCTGGTGACAGGTTTTGGTGACGGCCCAAACAGGCGTAGGAAAAATATTGGAGCCCCACCCCCCCCCCCTTTAGCAGATAAGACCTGGAGGCTCTCAGAGGAAGGGACTGCCCCAAGGTCACACGGCTACCACGCTGTAAAGCCCAGTGCCATCAAGTCAGTGCAATTCAATGACCTTTCCTCAAACTCCTGCCGGTGCCAGACGGGGGAGGGCGCAGACTCAGGGGACTAAAATAGGCGAATCTCTAAGGAAACACGGGATGAATTAAAAGACTGAGGATCAGGGAAAGCTCTCCATGAGGAGGCGGCACCCGAGCAGAACCTCGGAGAAAGCCAAGAGGGGAAGCAGAACAGGTCAAGGAGGTGGTGCCGCCTTTACAGTCCGAGACCCGAATGTCGCCAGTTCTCCTGCTACGGTTTCTGTGACCCTTCTGAGCCTCAGTTTCCTCCTTGGCAGTATGAAGGGGTTGAGTTCTAAATTCCCTTCTAAACGAACGATCCTCTGAGCTTGGGCCGAGACCTCGCCCACTGCCAGCCTCAGTTTCCTCATCTAAAAACGAGGTCCCTTCCAGCTCTCCATCCCGGAGCTCCTGACGAGCCCGGGTCCTCTGCCTCATCCCTCACAACGGGGAGGGATGGCCGGAGGAGCGGCTGACGCTCACCTCCAGGACCTGAACCCCCGCCCCTTCCCGAGGACTTGAGGGGACGCGTAGAGCAGTCACGGAGCCTGCACTCTCAGCCCTCCCCGGGCGGCACACACGCCCTCCCCGCTCCCAGGGTCGCGAGCTGCCCACCGCAGCCCCTGCCTGGGCCCTCGGGCCGGCCCCACCCCCCACTGCCCCACTTCCCCATTCCCTCACTCCCATCCCTACCGAGCCAGAAGTGCAGGCGGTAGGTGAAGTCGTTGCGGTGACCCTGGCGAGTACAGAGCACCAGGTAGGCGTCCCCCACGTAGAAGCTGCCGTACTGTTCGGTGGGCACCGGCACCAGCTCCATCTTCTCGACGCGCCACACCTGCAGACCCGCCTGGAGGCCAGCCCGGGCGAACTCTTTGTGGTACAGCGGTTGCGGGGCCATGATTGGAGGGTGGGGGGCCGCGGGGACAGAGTGGGAGGGCGGCGATGCGGATCCGTGCAGCGCAGAGCGCAAGCAGAGGGCAGACGGCGGGGCTGGGGCAGAGCCGGAGGAGCTCCCACACTGAGGAATGTGACTGGAAGGAGCTGCCTGGGGCGCAGAAAGCGAGCCAGAGTCTGAGGACCTCCTGCCGCGTCCAGGTTTATAGGGCGCGGGGGACCCAGGGGAGGGGCTGCCCCCCTTCTTCACCCTCACCCCGCCCGGAGGGGTGGGGCCACACCACTGACCCCCGCCCCTTCCCAGAGAGATGGCCGCCCCCTCTCCCCAGGACAGCCTCCTGTCCCACCGCCCTGCGGGCAGGGTGTGTGTGTGTGTGTGTGTGTGTGTGTGTGTGTGTGTGTGTGTGGGTGGGGGTGGGGGTGTGTGTGTGTGTGTGTGTGTGTGTGTGTGTGTGTGTGTGTGTCTCCGTGTCTCCGTGTCTCCGTGTCTCTGTGTCTGGCTGAATCTAAGAAGCAAAAGGCTGTGATAACTGGCTGCTGCCCGGACCCCCGGCCTCCTAGGAGGGGGTGCTGCGGGGCACACACACACACACACACACACACACACACACACACACACACACACACACACACTACAGCTTGTCTCCGGAGACCGCCCCGCCCCGGGCTCCAGGTGTGCGCTGAGAACGAAAACAGGAACCAGGCCTGGGTAGCAGAGCAAGCTCTGACACAGTTTCCTCCCACCTCCCTCTCTCCCCTAAGATCCCTTCCTCCGACTAAGGTCCTAACCTAACTTCGAGGGATGAAGGAGGCCGGGGTGGTCACACTCGGCAGTGAGGAATAGAAGGGTGGCACAGCAGAGGAGCCCGAGGCAAGGCAGGCGGGCAGTGGCAGATGAAGAAGGAGCAGGTCACAAAAGCCAGGGGAGGCTGGAGTTAATGGGATGGGGGCTGCAGAGGGGCCAGGTTGAGGAGGATTACAAAAAGCCCGTAGATTCTGGCAGTTAAGAGGAGTTTCAGTGAGTGCCCTAGTCAGAGGCCAGATTACAAGAGGCTGGTCACACCTGACACTGACCCCCTGGCCTGGCTAGTGGTGGCTGCCCCTCTCTGAGTCCCTGCAGCCCCAGAACCCAGCGGCGGTGCCAGGCACACAGTGGGTACCATGTGGAGGCCTTATGGTTGCTTGTTGAGTGACTGACTGACTGACTGATGCCTAGCGTAAGCCTTCCTATGGGGCCTTGCCTCTGTCTTTGCTGAGTAGGAGTCGTTGGAGGTTTAGGGTCCGGCACCATGGGAAGTTACTGGAGTGGGGGAAGGTAGAGTAAAAGGTCTGGGGCAAAAGGGGGCTGTGGAAAAGGGGATCTCGGAGAGAGCAAGCCTCCAACTGAATGAAGTCTTTGGTTTGACTGGGGCTAAAGCCTCGGCTACCTATCTAACACACGAATGGCCGAGGGTTGTCCCAACCATCTTGGGTGATGACCTTGCTTAGCTAACTCTAGAGCCTTCTGGTTACCTGGAGAACTGGAGATCTTCAAAGTCTGACTCGTGACTTCTGTCATTATTAGTGAAAGCATCTCTCACACACAGCCCCAGGGGTCCAATTTCCTGGAAAGAGCGGGGAAAACCTGGAAGGTTCTGTGCTGGGACCAAAGCCTCTCAGCCATCCCCAGAGTCCTGGAGGGAGCAGAAGGGCCCCTTCCTTGACTTCTCCAAGGAGCCCCAGCACAGGATTTCTCCTGGGGCTCCTCTCTGGGGAGGGAGGGTTGTTTATGCCACTGACTTCACACTGGGCTGGCTCTTACCTGACTTCTGGCCTTGCTCAGCCTTTCTTGGTGAGCTTGGTGAGCTTGGGCATGAGTACAAAGCCCTCCCTGGCTTTGCAACAAAGCTGCCCCTGGTGTTCCTGTTTCCTCTGTCCTGGCTGGCAGAGGCCTCACCTTGCCTATGCCCAGAAAGGCCACAGCACAAAGTTCAGAGCCCGGCAGAGGGGACAGGATCTAATTTCAAATCTTCTGAGTTTTCTTCTTTTTCACTCATGCCAGGAAGGTCATGAGCCAGTCACTCATTCTGGCTGCACAACTAGGCTCAGAATAAATGCCTTTTGGAAGAATTTGACATAAAAAAATAATAAAAACCCATTCTTTTCAAATCACTGGTTATTCCAAGATATACTTATAAAAGCACAGATGCTTTAGGGCAAGAATTCTCTTTTGTGTCATGGACCTCTTTAGCTACTGTATGGTGAAACGTAGAAACTCCTCAGAATAATACTTATAAATGTATACAGTGAAATACAGGGGATTACCAGACTAGGCAGCATAGCAGATGGAGCACAGGGTCTGGAATCAGGAAGACTCATCTTCCTGGGTTCAGGTCTGGCCTCAGACACTAACTAGCTGTGTGACCCTGGGCAAGTCACTTAGCCCTGCTTGCCTCAGTTTCCTCATCTGTGAAATGAGCTGGGGAAGGAAATGGCATACCACTGCAGTATCTTTGCCAAGAAAACCCCAAATGGGGTCACAAAGAGAAGCACATTCCTGAACAACAACAGAGGATCATAGAGGAAATCAATTCTCTCAAAATACAGTTAGCGCTGTGTGTGTGTGTGTAAGGTGTGTGTGTGTGTGAGTGTGTGTGGTGGGTGTGTGGCGTGTGTGTGTGTGTGTGTGTGTGTGTGTCTGTAGAACCAGTGGTTCAGAACAGGACCTGGTCTTCTGGACAGTGACCCACCAGAGAGCAAATTCGTGGCTGGTGGCCTAGGACAGTGTCTGGGGTATGGTTCTCCTGTCTTGCTTTCCTCACTTAATATAAAGGACAATCAGAGGATTAGAGGCCAGAGAGCCCTTAAAGGTCATTCAACCCAATCCCTTAATTTCACTGAGGTGGAGCCAAGGCCCAGGGCAATGACATGACTTATACAGGTTCATCTACCTGGGAAGGGGCCCAGGAGTCAAGCCCAGCTCCTATGACTCCAAGCTCAACATTCTGTTGAATGTTTAGTTGAGCAGAAAGAGCATGGGACTTGTAATCAGGTGAGACCCCAGTCTGCATTTCTACCTCTGGTCCTACCTAGTTCGAACTCTGGGCAGTCGAGGCAATCACTCTGACCCGCTGTCTCCTCATCTATAAAATGATGATTCTAGGTCTTTCACTGTGGGCCTCACAGAGTAACTGTGAGGAAAGTATTTTGGAACCTTTGAAACAGTGAAGTTCTGGGGTAGCTGCTGGTGTTTGGTCTCAGTGACCTTAGAATCCTTGGTTGGATTAAGTTGCTATTTCAGAATAAATTCCACTTGCAAACAAGAGAGTTGGAGTATAGGTGTGGCCATTAAAGAAATGTCAGTGCAGAAGGAAGATGGGTTGGTTATATGGCAAGAGCAAAGGTTGACCCTTGGCAGCTGGGGAGTTCAGCCCTGGGGAAGCCAAGAGGTAGACCCACCAGGGCAAACTTCCAGGGCAAGAGTCACACAGAAGGCCAATGCTTCCAACTCAGGACCACAGACCCTTGGAGGATGTGCGTTTCTTTCCCAGTGGCAGCCCCTCTTTACTAAGTCACAAGAATTTCCCTCATCCTAGGAAGAGGTAAGAGGTAACAAGTGAGAGGACAAACCTCAAAATGAGAGCTGTCCCATGGGGGAATGGGCTGCCTCCAATGCCTGGACACCCCTTTCAGAGACTTGCGTTGGTCCCCGTGGGATGAGCTGTCCTTGGACAGCAGGTCCCATCCCTGAGCACTAAGAGAGGCGGATCCATGCTGTGCCTTCGAATTCCCACTCAGGTAACAGGTAAACTATCTTTAAAACAGCTTTTTAATCCCAGAAATAAACCAGTGAATAACGCAGGGGCTCACCAAGATGGTTTTGGACTAGAGAAGGGAAGTCGAGCGTTTCTGGCGGTCCTCCTTCCTCAACGCATCTCATTCGCTGTCTGCACTAGGATTCAGTAAATGGGCATCCAATGCTGAGCTTCCGTGCTAAACAATGCAGACCTTGATGTCATCTGGGATAGTGGGAAGAGCAATGGGAATAGCAGGGAGGACTGAGTTCTAATCCAGCCTCTGAGCTGTGTGCCCATGGGCAAGTCCATTAACCTCTTGAAGCCTGGGTTTTCTCATCTGTAAAATGGGGGTGGTAATAGTACCTAACTCACAGGCCGTTACTGGGCTCAAATGAGTCCTGTATACTGTACCTTGTATATGTAGGTGGCGTATACAGAGATGCACGTATACAGCAATGTATATATGGTGAGGCTCTAGACTTGTAACCTGTGCATGTAGTGACCAGTGGGGTCCGCAGAGTGGAGCTGGCTCCATCTCCCCTCTCTGAGTCCTAGGGGTACTTCTGAGGAGACAGTAGGATTTCTCCAGTGCTATCCACCTCAGTCCCCGCTACAGTGTGTCCTCCATAATATCAATCACCAGTGCCTCCTGCTATAATGTAATTGGGCAGCTAGGGGATGCCATAGTGCACAGAGCAGCAGGCCTGGAGTCAGCACCTACTTGAGTTCAAATTCAGCCTCAGACGCTTGCTAGCTGTGTGACCCTGGGCAAGTAAATTCACTGTTTGCTTCAGTTCCTCATGTACAAACTGAGCTGGAGAAAGAATGGTAACCACTTCGGAGGTTTTCCTGCCAAGAAAATCCCAAATGATGTCACGATAAGTTGGGGACAAATTAACAAGTGATGCAATCCATTGCTATGTCCTAGCTATCACTAACAATAATAATAAAAATAATAATAGCTAGCATTTATACAGCTCCTACTATGCGCCAAGCACTATGCTAAGTACTTTACAATTTGGTCCTGACAGCAGCCTTTGGAGGTAGGTGCTATTATGATCCCCATTTTACAGATGAGAAAACTGAGGCAGACAGAGGTGAACTGACTTGCCCAAGGTTACACAGCTAGTACATTTCTGAGGTCAGATTTGAACTCAGATCTTCCTGATTCTAGGCCCAGAACTCAAGAAATTGGTATCAATTTTGCTTTTACAAAGGCGGTAATTACTGAAAAGCTATAGCCAGATTCAAGGTATAAAATGTCCCCTGAACCGGGGCACATGCTTGCTGCTACACCTCAGGTCCTGGGGAGAGTGGGCTCAAATTGAAAATGTTAGCTACCAAATTGATTCCACTATCAAGGTCCCTTTCAGGGGCAGCACAGTCAATGGACCAGCTGCT